TATAAGACTCTACCATGCAGCAGATGTTAAGAACACGCCCTTACCGATACCATGAGTACCACAGATGATCTCAAAGACGCCCTAAACTCCTTCAGAATATACTAGGAAATAACGAAATCAGAGATTGAGCAAAAATTATTTAATTTATTAAGTTTCTTGCTTGATTAATAAGTGTTTGTGTATTGTATCTTGTTCAATCTATAAACCTTCGCTCATCTATAAATGGCTTAGGCGTATAAATGGATCAACTGGGTAGTCTCACTGTTTATGAACTATATTATACAACTATCCCCCGAAGGGGAGGTGAATAGTGGTGGAAATACCAAATCCGTTGGATAAAACTCTAAAAAGTAACTTTTTGTAAATCAAAAACGTCACCTAGTAGGAACCTTACTAACAATTAACAAACATTTCGGGGGTTTTGTTAAGTGCGTTTTACGGCCTGATTTTGTTGCAAATTCTGCATGAAAATAATTTTCTACCTACCAGTGAACACCGACAAGCCAAAGTTCGTCGCTTTCTTGGTATTTGTTTGTACGACTGCGTCATTTATCGCACAAATTTCGTCCTCCTTAACGAGACGCCATCTTGCCTCCGGTCGTTCCGAGTTACGCGAGCCAATCAAAACGCGTGAAAATTGCCATTCACTGATTTGGTAAATGGTGGTATACAGCTATTTCGAGAAAGGTTGTCAGAAAAAATGTGCACATGACAAACCCGAAATGTAATATGGGATATGATCAATACACTGTTCCTGACACTGTAGCTGTCAAACCTACTTTTGTTGCTTTCCTTTAGCAATGGCAAATTTTCGTCCATGGCCTCTCGTGCACTTCTCTCAAATTTCTTTGAAGAACAGTGAACTCAAAACCATCCATAATACCTTTCGGGATTGTCGCGCGCATTTTTCCGAAAACCTTTCTAGAAATGGCTGTACTCGCCGAAAACATATTAGTTTTGCGGAGTTTATAACAGTTATTAGAATAAACGCCTCTCTTTTAACGCCTCCTATCTATTAACCCTTTAAGCCGTAAGAGTAATCAGCATCAAATTCCTCCTTGTAATATCAATGCTTCGTAAAACAGAGAGGTCATGAGAATTTAGGACATGATCACACAGAATGTATTTACTTGATATTTTATCAACTTCTCCTTACTACTTCTATAGTAAATGAATAGGGGCGACAAAGGAGAATTTTAATTTTGATCCTAGGGTTTAAAGGGTTAAACGCACACCCGCTTGGGTTTCCAAATTTGAATCGACACCCCGGGCGTTTAATAGATCATCATGACGTTACATAATGATAGCACTACAGGAAACTTCTGCCCCAAAGCTTTTACTTTGAATGGGTGAACGCAATAGAACATACAAAAATTCACACTACAAAGCTACAAAGAATCACCCTATACACCACAACTGATAAACAGAAGAAAGTGCTTGCCCAGTAACTTAATGAGAATGGTCACACAGACTAAATTTCATCCCCACCGAATCGTAGAGGATATCAAAGTAACTTTTAAGGGATAAACATAAAATATAGTTCATCCTTTTAATGAAGTAAAGAGCAATAAAAAGCCCTTTAGTCTTTTATGGTTCAGGTTACGATTTCCTAGCTTTCACCATTCTGGGGGGTAATCCGCCCACATCCCCATTTGTCCCAACTGGAGTACAAGTTGAGCCGGAACTTGATTTTCTCTTTTGTTATTTCGAAGCCATCTGAGCCTTCCGTAAAATGTTCGCAAGAGCTCTTACGTTTCTATGAATCCGAGATAAGTGAATAAACCATTGACTCCAGTTTATTGAATTAGTACCAAAAATATAATGCGTTTATAAGCATGGTACAAGAGTAAAAAAAAAATAAGAAAAAAAATAAGTACAGTACACTGTATTGCCTTGAGTACCTTCAAATGTGAGCACCGTTTTATTTTTCTACAATATTCTAGAAATTTTTTTTTGTGTATGAGCCGAGATGTTATACCCATAATAGCTTTACTTACATTTCCCAAAAGTAGTCAAGAGATATTACTAGATTGCACGTTTTGCGTGTTGTTTTTGTTGTTGTTGTTGTTTTTTTTTTTAAGTCAAACGGCTGCAGCCTTTGGCAGGCTTCTAAGATGTCTTTAATTATAATGAAAATCCCTAATCTAAAGGTTCTTACCCAAAGGTACTTATAATAAAAAATGAGTGCATTTTCGACACAACAAGCTGTCATTTTTTAAAATATTTATTTTTCAAGGATATAATCTATTAAATTAACAACAAGACTGCATAATAACATTAATAATAATAATAACAGTAATCGGACTTGGTCATTGTGGGATGGGAAGGTTTAAAACAAAAGAATTTTTATCTCAGACAATGACCGCCCAAGTAGTTTTCAATGTCGTGTTCCTCTACACGGAAACTTTGCTGATTGCAGAAAATGTCGTAGCTGTTTACTCCTATTCTTTATTTGCGTCATTAGGCCAGCAAATTTCTAACAAGGAAACTTAAGGGAAATTTTGAAGAGTTCTCAAAAAATAATGTCCAGTTTTATAGTTGTAGAATTTGTATGAAGGTATTTGGTATCGTAAACGATTGAACTACGCTGGACAAAGGTGTCCGTGATATAGTGATAGAAGTAATAAGTAGGCACTACTATATGATAAGCCAACAGATATCCAAATGAGCAATAAAAAAGCAGCCCAAGGCTGCCCAAGGCTTATACTACGACGGAACAATACTTTTGCAAGACATCGACTTGACACATGAACATGAGTCGTTTGGACTCGCCAGTTACAGTTTACCCATGTAGACTCTCTCTTGGATAACCAGGGGGGACTCCACATATGAAAGGGGTGGGAATGCTCGTCGGACATTTTAAATTAAACCCCTAAAGGAGACCGATCTGGGCGTGGCCCAAGCTTTTTTTGACCCCTAAAAGAGACCATGTTAAAACACAGACAATATAATATATTTTTATATTTTTTCGCGTGCAACTCTAAACAAGACCTTCACGGCTAAATATGATGGCGTTTTGCCCAGAACACCCTAAGTGAGACCAAAATCCGAGATTTACACCCCTAAGCGAGACGACCATCATCACCACCCCTTTCATATGCGGAGTCCACCCCCTCCCCCCCCCCTCCGGGATAGATAACCTCCAAGGGAGGTTCGGTGGTTCAGTTGTATTCCATTGAGCAGCTGACCAGCTGTCTGCCGCTTATGAATCCAGCGGAGATGGACACAGCTGCCCTGATTTGCTGCTCTGCTCTGCATTGTCATTTGTGAAATGTTTATCGCATGCGGCAATGCTACTGAATTTAATTTTCTGCGATAGTGGCTGTAATGGAAGAGCCGGTCGACTTTACTGCAGACAAACGTGAAAAGACAAGTCATCAAGGTGTTGTTTTTTAAAAGCTTTCCAGGGGCGTTTTCTCATTCCTGTTGTTGCAACCAATCTTCAGCCTTTAAGACCTTTTGATAATTTCTTAAGACTTTTATAAGCCCTTAAGTCTTTCATTAGGCTTGCAATAACCTTAAAAGCACGGTCTAAAGACCTTTTCTAATGGCCTAGTGACATTCATAATCGCTTTTAGCTATTAAACACGTACCAATATGGCCTCGAAGTCCAAATTTAAACAAAAACATAGTTTAGCCAATTTTGTGAAAAACACAAAAGACAAGTTTCACTGTAGCACAATGTAAAAGTCGAGACAGGAAAAGGTTTATGCAAGGACCTTTGTCCACCTAGACAAAAGTGGTACCTATAATCACCGAGAGCCCATTGCCGTTACATATTACATCACTCGGAAATTAAAAAAGTAAAAAGCTTACAATACCCCCTAGACAGGAAAATCCGTGTAGAGTTTAACTCTCTAATCCTCTCGCTTAAGCAGTATTGCACAATATAGTTCTAGGGATTAATAAAAATAATAACAGTCTTAGCAAAGGAAAAACTTCGTTTCACTGAGTTGAATCCACTTGTAGCAAGTTCTCATTAGTCAGTTTGGATCTCTTCAATTATTATTTTCAAATATTTTACGTACTTCAAATATCTCGCGACCACTGCAAAGTATGAACCACTATGGTGTTTACTCTAGATGATGGAGAATAATCTAATTTAGGGTACTCCTGAACCGCCACGATTCACGATATCACTTAAAAGTACGAAAGTATTAGCCTCCTTTTACAGACTGAACATAAGGCATCAAGAATGTTATTTTTTCCCTTCTACCTCCAGAGTAAACTGTTACTGCAATAAGATAGAAAATAAATTTGTCAAAAAGTGTTAAAAACTTATCTTATAATCACGTACAATTACTACGATGCGGGGGGCCGGAGGTGTGCATTTATGCTTATGATCCTCTTATAAAAACGTCAATTTATCCATTAAATCGTTTTTTCCTCGTTAATAGTCACTTTTTCGACATCTTGCTAATACAAAGTCTACATCTGAATTATGAAGAGGAGTTTTGAAAGCAAAGGTCATGAAAATTCGTTTTTAAATAAGTGAAACTGCAATCTTTGCCGGAGACATTTAAAAAATTTTTCCGTGTTGACTGAATCTGTCTTGTTATTTATCAATTGGTCTTATCCACTATGAAAACATTACTCTGGATATTATTGTAAGGATTTACTTGAGACGTCGTTTTAACAGTAATCAGGTAGAGAGTATTTAGTGAAGATTTAGAGTAAAATCATCACACACCACAACTATGACGTAAAAAGGTTCTTAATTTAATCATTTTATTATTTTTATCTCCCTTCATCACGTAGGAAAAGGTATTCTGTCACGCAACTTCAAAGCTGCCCGATCTGACATGTCCGATTACCAGGAGCATGTAATTTGTCAGGTCAAATCAAACAGTTACACGGCCAATGAAAATCAAGTAGCAAATGTTACTAGCCAATGCAAAGCATATTGTGGAGATACACTGCAGCAAGGGTATGTTAAGACTTAAAATCCAAGATGGCATACACTGCGCGTGCCAGACTGACCCTAGCCCGCTGACCCCCACTTAAAACGGACCGCGTTCGCCAACAAACGTAAGATCCCCTCTGGGGAATCTCTTTATGTTCGCAAGCATTGCACAAGCCTCCAAGACTTTGGTGTATTTTTCTCCTTGATATGTTTTACCAAATAATTAACAATTATTGGACGAGGTTGAGCAAAATATCGGGATTTGTCAATGGCGAGCAGATCAATTATTTGCCGAAGCCGAAGGCTGAGGCAAATAATTGATGTGCGAGACCCTGGCAAATCACGATATTTTGCGATAACCGAGTTCAAAACTGTTGGACGACATTGCGCATGAGCAGACCATTATTTGTAGGCAGTTATTTGCAGGTCACGTGGTGGGCTTTCGGCCAATGAAAAGGAAGAAAAGCTTGCATCGAATGATAAAACGTTTTCTCTGACTGTCCCTGAGAAAACCCAAGCCGACTGAGGTACATAAGCTATAGTCCCTGGACAGACTATAGGCCACTTGCTTTAATCACCTAACCGGCTACTGCGGCCAAAAGAATTGATTTTCCACTGCCAACTTGACCGGTGATCACAGTAAGGCTATTTTCGTGTACCACAAAACTAACATCTTGAAGAAAAAACTTTTCAATATGTTCGCTGGGCTCATCCAATTTGCACGAGAGACCAGAAACTGAAAGTTGCAAATCAGTTGTTCCGGATTGTCAGAATTTTCGCAGACCGTTTCTCTTGTCATAGGCAAATGATCTTTCTTCGAAGCCTTCGACTCCACTATCTGTGCATGAGTACTTTCTTGGATGCAAGAAGTCGAACTGCCTTCCAATGGCTCGAGGGAATTGTTCTCAAGTAAAAGAAAGCACTCAATTCTCTCCAGGGAAGGAAGCAGCTCAGCTATTATATTCACAGCTCTCGTTAACCTACCAAATATTACTCTCTTGAGTAGATTTGTAAAAGATAAAAACATGAAAGCCATTGGCAGGAAACGAACTTGCCAGTTAAGACGAGGGCCAAAATTGATTGAAAAGTGGCTTTGCTTGCAGATCTTGAATAGGACTGTTGTTGACAGTGACTGACGTTTCCGTGCGGTAGTCGTCTTCAGAGTCAAAATGAGTTGTATCACGTCAGTTGATGGTATCACAGTTTTAAAGTGTTTATAATGTTTATAACTGACAACTTTTAGACCAACAGGTTCTTAAACACCAGGTTCTTAGTCGAAGGTTTTTACTGTATTAAAGAGAAAGTGAAGGAATCCCGTCAACCCCCCTCATTTTTGGAGCCTACAACGCTGACGGGTCTCATGAATGAAGTCAATTCTCACGCGAAAAGTCGTCCAGGTTGGTGTCCAATATATTATAGTTGGCTCAATTTGCCAGAAAAATCCAAACTGACAGAAAATCCTTTCTCCTTGCACACTATAGCTTAGCCAACGTGACATCAAATGAAAAACACAATTAAGGTCTATTGCAGGGGCGGATCCAGGATTTTTTTTAGTCGTCTCTTGCTCTACTTCAACACCAATAAACCACATAGTTTTTTTCTTTTTTTGCAGAATACCAGTTGTATTAGAAAACCGCAAGTCATCTCAGGGGGGGTGCGCACCCCCTGCACCCTCCCCCTAGATCCGCCCCTGTATTGTTAGTACAGCGCACTTTGCGCTAATAACAAGAGAGGATAATCAATATTTCTTAGATATGAGCCTTCTTACTTTCTTTACTTCTTCTTGAGAATATTCTTTCCAACCATGCGTCTTAAGAGCACGAATTCCAGAGACAAGCTCGTTCATTAGAGAAATACGTCTGTCCGACGCTTTCGTGGTTTCTCTGCGTAATTTAGCACAAACAGACGAGATTGCCATGATGTAAGGTACGAAGCCGTGTGAAAAAAGACGCCCATTAAGACCTGCCAAGCAATAAGGTGCAGCAGAACGGCAACTGTACAACGACAAAGAACGAGTCCACTGTGCATCTTAGGAGCAGTTTTATTCCCTGGACATCGTTCAGTGAAATAAGGTCGATGACGTTACCTGAAGAAATATACAAAGATGCTACAACCCCGAACAAAAACCTGTTGAGACAAATCGCGAAAATGAATATTTTTTGCTATCATCCTGGCAAAAACTGAAACCTCCGCCATTTCCCCCCTCCCCTTATCCAAAGTTGTTCAGGATAGCATGGCAATTATACACGTTGGTTTTTATACCAAGACAACTTTGAATAGGGGGTGGGGAGGGGGCTTACTTTTTCTGTTTAGAGGAGACAGGGGTAGGGCGCAAAAGTTAGAAAATAGATGGAATTGTTTCAACAGTTTTGTCTAAGGTTGTAGCTATTGTTGTGCACGAAAATATGAAACTTGGAGACAATACCCCTATATTATGAGAGGCTGTCACTTGTAAACACAAAATTTCTAACAAAAATACTAGCGAATTGTAGCCCTTATTTTACTGCCTTTCAATGTATCAATAATCTTGAAACTAAAAGGTCATATAAAAGAAGGTTAATATCAAGAATCTTTAATTTTTTAAAAATCTATCGAGCGGTTTAAAAATTATTCGCTAATTTGTGAAAGAAGACCAAAATGTTTACAAACCGCTAACAACTGAGCGCTTCGATACATTCTAATCAAATCCTTCTTTCTAGCAATCGGCAGGAGCTATCTTCATGATCTTTCACACACGTTTTTAAAAAGATTGAAACTACTATGAGGTTAAATTGCATGTCAAAAGCGCTTCGTTTTCTACAGATAACAGCTGAATATCAAGATTGTTCATTTTTTACCGTATTTTTAACCATAAAAACTTTATCACAAGATATCTCGATAACGCTCTTACAGATTTCGCTTAAACCTCACTCACATCGAGGCGGCTATTTGAGGAAAAAGCAACCGTGAACGATTTTGGAAGAACAGTTCCCAGTGCCGAGAAATGACTGCAGCAAGTAAAATAGGTAATAGCGTCATTTCG